AAAAAAATCACAGTTCTGTTCACCATGAATGCTGTTTCTTCATCCCCTGGAAAAAGTTAAATCAACAATGGAAGAAAAGTTATGATCACAATCATAATAACAATGAAAATGGAAAATAATTGTTATTTTGAAAACAAAAAAAAACACCAGAAACAGTTGTGACTTGTTTATCTGAAAGATCAAAATTCTGTTCAATCCATAAGTATCGTACGTTAACTTCAGAAATCTGCCTTTTGAATTATCATTATCAATCTCTATGCTTTTGAATATATTTTAATATGAAAAGCTGGAAACAACCATTCTATTATTTGTGTAATTATTCCCAAATAATTCTTAATGTTTTAATTTTGTGGAGTCATATAATTATAAAACAATTTTACAACCTTTGATAACTTTCAAAGTCGATACAAAGAGTCTATTCCATTCAAAAGGCTGATGTGGATTGATTAAAACTGGGTTTTAGCATAACATTTATCATATGTGATTTGCAAGATCCTTACTTAAGGGCTAAGCTGGATAACTCACTTCATTTTTTATTATGCAATCAGTAAAGAAATAATGACACTAAATGATGCAACAGGGAGTCATCCAAAGTCATAAACTCTGACAGCACTTAAAAAAGTTTCCTCTAATCATTGGAAGATTTCTATTCCTGGTGAACTTCAACCCTTGTCTCTGCACAAACTACATTCAAATTCTGCTGCTATGATGGGCTAAGTCTCTCAAATACACCAGGATGAGAATGCTACTCATCATCTGCCATGACCTTAGTTTTTTTATAACAGTTATAGAATACTGATTTTTTCTCATGCTCAGTTTTTCTCCCTGTCACAGGCAAAACTATTTCGAATTGGCCAACTTTGTCCACATTGACACAAATAACAAGAAATAAAGTTTTCTAAACATGTTGTACAATTTAGGAAATTACATAGGTACTAACTTTCCAAGCAATTTATGAATCAGAAAATAGTTTTGAATTTCTAAATGCCAGCTTTAGAAGTCTAGTGTAACATACTTATTGACATACGCGATGTTTTAAGGAGCCTACAATTCTCACAATATTATTTTTACTGGAACTACTTGTACTTGCAATTAAATGATAAAATATACAAAATTGTTTTTTTTTAATGATTACTATAGTTTAGTCCATTAAAAAAAAACATGGTTTTTCAGGTATTATTATAAAGTGCTTTTGATCTGGCATCTGTTTTGATATTAGCAGGAACTTAGTTTGGCTAAGCCATAGCAATCTTGCTTCTGCAATTGGCCAGAATTTAGTGATTGCCGAATGAACAGTACCTGCCATCCATTCACATGTCTACTTACTTTCCATGAGATTCTGAAAGATAAGTTTTCTGTTATTGGGAGATCTATAGGGTGCGTAGGGTGTGTGTTAACAGGGCAGAAGCACATCTCTGTATGTCAATCAGATTGAAAAATTGTTAATGAGACTAACAGAGTCTGAACTAGGAAGTGTGTGTTGTAATAGTGAATCCAATATCACATCAGGCACTGAAAATTAGAGAGGAGAAAGAAAGCTTGATGTAACAGAGCAAGAGGGCCCGAAGGAAAAAAATATTTTTGTTTAAAGTGCCCAATAATTTATATTCCATTATTTTCATTCTCGGAATAAAAAATAATATCCCCCCATTTGAAAGCTATTTGAAAGACTTTTGCAATACTTTATATACTGCAGCACTCTCTGGCGACTGAAGGTTGTCATTGTACCCTAAAACTTGCACTTTTGCAAATAAATATGTGTATAAATACATACAATATAACAGCAAGGGTCCCCAAACATTTTCCCCACTAACCATTTCAAGACTGGAAAATCGTTGTGACTCCCTCTTGAGGTTATGATCCCCAATTTGAGAAGTCTTGCTGTGTACACATACACACATATACATTCTAGATTTAACTTTTTTAGAACAAATTCTATCAGGTATTTAGTGTTAACGCTTACTTAATTGTATTCAGGCATTTGTTTTGAAAAATGTATGCATAAATAATAAAGGAAGTAGCAAATGGGTCAATACTGTTAATTTGTAGAGTGCTGATCCCCAGTTCCAAAGTGGTCTGTGTACTTGTGCCCGTGAGCTGATATTTTACAAAGATGTAAAATCATTAGATCGTTACTATACTTCAAGTCCACTCTAAAGTAATATGTCATAATTTCTTGGCATTGCAAAGAGTCCCATCGTGACTGTCTTTAATATTGAACCTCAAAGTTCATCAGAACTAACGACAGAGAACAGAATGGATGATTTCAATGGTCAGGCTCTAGAGTAGATAGTGCAAGCAAACAGAATTGTATTGATGGAATGATATAAAGTGCCTGCATACTTATCAGACTGACACTGAAACTTGGGACTACGCATCTAAAGCAGGAAATCAGATCAAACTAATTTCATATGCATTGCTTGAGATCTATTTGGCAGCAAAGTACTGGAACTTTCTAACTTCAAAAGAATCATGGCAATGCTCAATTACCTCGACCAAGATGGCTAGGCCATGATATTAGAATGAATGATGGTTGCCTTTCAGAAAATGCATTCTATGTAGAATTTAATGATGCCAGTAGATGTATTCGGCAGCCAAATCCACAACAGAAACAAAACATAATTTCATGCCAGATTGACTTCAACAAGTGGGAACGGTTTGCACACAACGAAAGCAACTGGTGCCAAAGTCTTCTGAAATTTAAGAGCTATACCTTCAGACAGCCGCAAAAAAGCACCATTATATGCAGAAACTTGAACCTGTTAGCCCTGTAGCAACAAATGACAACTTACAATATCCCAATGTAATCAATAATACCTTGAATTTACTATAATTCCATCTACAGAATCACACCAGATAAGTAGGTGATGTGAATCATCTGCACTAATGTAAAGAAAGAAGCAGAGGGATTGGAAATGGTAGCTCTTTCAATCTAATGAATGGCACTACATTTAGACCAGAAAGATCCATGGCCAGAGGGGGATGGAACTTTTTTTTACCGGTTGCATTCCAGAGAAAATATGATGAATCTACTGGTCATGATACTTACTTGATACATTCCCTGATTTTCAGTCTACAAATGCAACAATAATGTCCACACTTGATTATAGAGAATCTACCATTTAAAAGTTCAAAGCAGCTGCAAGTTTATCATAGAATCACAGAATCTCTGCTGTTCCTGGGGATGAACTAGTCTCCAAATCTGATCTTGAAGCCTTTAGGTATTCAAGTGAATGCTGGCAGGTTTACAAAGAGCTAGATGTAACATCAGCTCAATGGTGTGACCCAAAGAATAATCTCATTTATCTAGCATGCCTCTGAAATGGGCTTTATGCATAATCTCCAAGTACAGTATGACACATTATCCACTAAGATTTGGACAAGGCCTCGGTGTTCTTGAGTGGTATAGCATTAGATCTTTCATTTTGCAAAACTGTGTTCTTCATATTATGGGTAGCTTATTCTATATTCAGTATTAGCATATTGTTGAGGATTCATTTATCAATGCAATGCTTAGGAAAGAAAGACAATCCATTAAAGGTGGCTTCAAAAAATTCTTGCTGCAGCCTATTACAGTTCTGCTTTTCAACCTGGGTATAGGTCATCTGCCTGCTATTTCATGGAAAATAAAATTTGATGTGGAAGATATAGTGATTGTAATGAGGTCAGCCAGGTGGACTTAATAGAATATGAAGTCCCTAATTTGGGCTGTTAATTTGGACCAATCAGGGATCCCTGACTGACAAATATAAATAGGAGTATCAAACATTGTGTCACTCTGAGAGCTCTGAGGAAGCTGGATCAGTGTCAAGGACTTTCCACATGTAAAATAAAGGGTGATTGGTGACGAGATACCGGCCTCTGTGGAGTTATTTCAGAAGAAATGAAAGACATCATGAAGGGCTTGATTTAGCATCGAGGAATTGAGAAAGCTTTACATCATCCCTGAAATAGAAATGAGGTGATAACACTTAGTGAAACAAACATTAGATAGAATAATCATTAGGGGGTTTGAAAGATAAAATAAATGTACATGTAAATATTTCCCTACAAAGTTCTTGCTTCGTTCAAAAGAGACGAGATCTAACCTACTAATTAGAAGAAAGCATATAATTTGCTGCTTATCCTCGGGAACTACAGTATTTTGCTTCTTATTACCAGAAAGGAGTTGCTCATCTGATTTCAGTCGTGTATTTGGGACTGAAAATCCTGGGTTTTTCTGTGGATTGTTAACAAATTTCATAAATGAGAAACAGACAATGACAATCTATTTTCAGATCAAAATCCTGTTTCCAATTTATTTCTGTGCTTTTGATATGATTAAGATGAATGAAGTCTTAAAGTAATGTCCCAGTTTGCAAAATAGGAAGCCATAGTTCTAATCCCATTTGGAGTTGGATTTAAAAGAAAGCCATCCATTGAGCAGATGCTACTACTCATCCAGTCAGTTGAAAGTAACATTCAGAACATGTCAGCAAATTTAGTTTAGTAACTAAAAAAAACAAACATAACTTCCAATAAAGGGAAAATTACAATTTTTAAAATCAAATTTACTTGACTGTTAAGATGCATATTAACAAAAGAAATAATGTTTAAATCTCTGGATTGATGGTTTGATCACCTTAACTCCAGTATACCAACTGGTATTCACACACTGATAAGCATTTTATCACTTAAAGACATGATGGTTTCTTCCTTATATTTAATGAAGTCGAAAGACCAGACTTTGTGGTGAGAGGTCAAACATCCCCACTGACTTATGTGAGTCCCTTACTTCTGACTGACCAAAATATTAGCAAAATTGAGTCATTAGAGAGACTGCACAAATCTCTGAACAATTCCTCTACTCAATTCTCTAAGCGTCACGTACCCCAACTGCAGCAGATTATGCAGATTGAGCATTGGACTTATCAACCATTTTAGAACACATTGAGTGAAATAATTCATTCTTGATCCTGAAGGACACTCTAAGAAGAGAGAATTTTTACCATCACACCTACCTGCTGCGTACCTTTAACCTCCTTCTTTTCACTGTACAACAATTGATATGAGTTCATTTTGTGTCTTCCCAGGGTCTGTTTATTCCGTTCCACAATATCATCCTGCAATCTTACTTTTGTTTGCAGTTTCCTGTCATGAGAGATCACAGGGTTCTTGGGCTGTTTTACCCTCTTTATGCTCACATCACTACAGGTTGACTCACACTCCAAGAATTGCTGGTATTCTTTCTGATAATGGTCATTCAAACTTTCATAGTCAACTTCTTCATTGTGATCTTCATTTTTCTCATGTTTATCTTTGGTATCTTTATTTGAGAATTTCCCTTTTTCAGTTTTCTTATAGTTTTGCAAATCACTCTTAATTGTATCAGTATAAAATCTAGGAGAATTGAGTGGTTCACAATCTTGGGTGCTGTGTTCACTGTTGGGATAAGAAGGCAAACGTTTCCTTTCAGATTGCTTTTGTACATTATTACCTTCTCTTAAACTAAATTTAACTCCTTGAGAGTTATCTGTTTGTCTTTTCTGTTCCAGTGAATCCAGGTGTTCACATTCAGAATCACAAAACATTTCACAATTATCTTCATCATTAGATTGATGATCCTCATGGCTTTCCTGGGAAACTTCTGCTGTGATTTTGTCTGTTCTAGTTTTGCTATGGTTTTGCAAATCACAATATTCAGAAGAATCAAGTGATTCATGTTCTTCTTGTATGCTAGCTTCACATTTAATATAAGGTGAACATGGTCTTTTCCTTTTAGGTTGTTTCTCTACATTATCATCATCTCTCAAACTAAATCCAACTGCACAAGCTTTATTTGTTTGCCTTTTTTGTTCCAGTTTGTCTTGGTGTTCACTGTATTTTCCTTCATTTTCCTCCAATAGCTTATTTGACTCTTGAAGCAAGTTCTCCAGTGAATCATGAAGAGTTGAGTTGTAGTTCTGTCTGGACATAAGAATCTTTGCTCCTACTCTGGTATTTCTCCAATTAGGATTATATCGCAAGTTGGCGTATCTGTCAGTGGCTTGATGTCTGAAAGAATTTTTTTAAAAGTTCAATTGTAGCATAAAAATTGTTGATCAAGTAATCAAAATTATAATTTAAAGGTATCTTATTAGTTCATCTATCTCAGATTAAAACCAATATGGGATTTGACATTTAATGCAAGGGTCATGTAGTATCAAATGTGGAACAAAGGATTGAATGGGAAAGCTACTGTTCCACTGTGTCACTGTACGTCAGGACTTTCATATATTTGTACGTTCATGCACTGAATAAAGCAGTATGCTATCTTAAATTGTAATAATCACATGAAGGCACAGGAGAACATCTTACTTTTAATTTTGAATATTGTTAGTTAAAGAGAAATTTTGCATTGCAAGCATTTATACAGCAAAGCACTCACGTTTGAGCAACTCTTATCATGTGAAATGCTATAAGATATTATTTCTCAGGAAAAAAAGTTTCACATTAGCCACAAAGTGAGGAATTTTGTGAAAAAGTAAAAAACAAAATCCACAATAATTTTTAAAAGAGTAATCTTTTGAGCACAGGGAGAACAGTAACAAAAGAAAGTAGCTTGGTAAAATAATTCCAGAGAACAGAGGTGGAAAAACCTGTGTTTAATGCTGGATTCCAGGGCTGAGACCAAGACCTAGAATTAGAGGCAACTTATTGGTTTAGACAGGGAAATGGTTAGGACGGAGAAAATACAGACAGTGAGAATAACAGGCATACCTTCAGATTGGCAGCAAGTCATGAGTGGTATCTTCCCAGGGACTGTACTGGTACCACATCTTTTCATTATAACTAGAAATTAGTTGGATGAAGGGATTGAGAGCTGTATATTTAAGTTTGTTGATGACACCATGTTAAATAGCACCATAACTTCTGAAACCGGGAACAGAAAGTTACAATAAAACATTGTGAGATTAAGCCAATGAACAAAATTGAGGCAGATGGGATTCAATGTGGGAAAGAGTGAATTGATCCACTTTGGAATAAGATCAGGATATTTTTGGAAAAAAAATACTGGGGACAAGCAAGGAAATTTAGGGGTCTAAGCATAGGCATTACTAAAAGCCAGTAAATATGTGTAAATAATAATTATTAGAAAGGTTAATGGAATGTTGACTTTTATATTAGGAATACAGCAATATAAAGGGATGAAAGTTATGTTGTAGCTGTGCAGAGCTTTGTTTCGATCCTGTCGAGAGTACTGTATTCAATTGTAGGTAGTGCTCTTCAAGAAGGATATGTCAGCCATGGTGTATATATACTGAACATTTAGCAGAATGATATCAGGTCTCAAGGAATAAACTGAGAAAGTTGCATATCTACGAGATTAGTGAATGATCTTGGCAAAGTGTTTAAGATGCTTATAGAATTTAATAAGATAAATAAACCAAAAAAACTATTTTCTTTGGTAGGAAAACAGAGAAGAAGAGAGCATAACCTTAAAACTAAAGTTATGTCTTTCAAAGTCGATGTCAAAAATCAGTTCTTTACACAAATGGTTGAGGACATCTGGAACCCTCTTAGAAAACCTTGTGAAGTTATGACAATGGAAAAAATCTCAATATTGAGATTAATAGATTTTTGTTAGGGAGGGGTATTAAAATGACTAAACCAAAGACGATACATGGAGTCAAGATAGAAATCATCCGTGATCCAACTGAACAGCAGAATCAGTTTCTAGAATAGACTGCTTTTCTTTTGTACCTCGATGTTGAAATTCAGAGGATTGAAATTTTACGTTAGAACATATAAAATTGATTTTGATATGTTTATATTATCAAATTTTATGAAAGCATTTTGGAAAACTGGGGAAATATATTTTCACAAAATTAAATCCTAGCATTCATGTACTGTACTTTGGAGAGCCGTTTAAAGGCAAATCAGAGCAATATGACAATGGTGCTAAAAGTGAGGGGATAGCAATATGGGACTTTGGGATGGACAGGAATCATAACTGTAGAATTCTGAATTAACAACTTTCTGTAGGATGTAGGTTGGGAGGACTTTTGATCTTTAATATTTTAAAGGCCATTGATGAGCACGTCAGTGGTAGGCTGGATAAGGTATATGCTACTTTGCAAAATCAAAGTGATCCAATAAAGGTTTTCAGTGCCTTAATTGCACTGATAATGGCCACCAATTCTGCATCATATTTCAGTGCAACTTAGTGTCAATGGTGCTGTTTTAAGATGGTGAGAGATAAGCATTGAATTGCAGAATTATTACAGTCCAGATAGAGGCCATTTGGTCCACTGTGTCTAACTGGTTCTCTGAGCAATTTAGCTTGATGCCAATCTCTTGCCTTTTTCCTGTAACCTTGCACACAGTTTCTGTTCAAATATTCTTCCAATGCCTTCTGGAATGCCTTAATGGAATCTGTCTCTATCACATTTTCAGGCACTGTGCCCTTCAGTTTTCAACCTGTTTACAAGCAGGAACAACTTTTCCCCAGTTACTCTGTCCAGACCTCTCATGATATTAAAAACTTGTATCAAATCTCATTCCAGCCTTCTCCTCTGCAGGGAAAACAGTCCCAACTTCTCAAATCTTTCCTCACAACTGAAGTGCCCCATTCCTGAACTGTTCTCATAAACATCTACCCATCTGGCTTCCTTTGAAGAGCCATTAGATATCATTGCTAATTACTGCTGTAATTGATTCCCTGATCAATACTATAAAACCCCATCCTCTTACCTCTTTCCCTGTATTGCCCAAAGACTCTATATCCTGAAAGACTGAGCTGCCAATCTTGCCCAATCGTATTTCAGTAGCAGCAATGACATCCTACATCCATGTTTTAATTTGTGCACTCAACTCATCTACCTTGTTCATTAGACTCCTTGTATTAAACAAAATATTATCCGACCTTGCCCATCTTCCTTATGCCTTAACTGGCCTATAATTTCTATTCCTCTTGACTCCCTTTGCTATCTCTTCTAATTTTAGCTGTTCATTTCTGGATTCCACCCGCTGCACCCCCCCCCCCCCCCCCCCCCCCCCTCACCCCACCGCTGATTAAAGCTTTCAACCAGAACTAATAAATTTCCCACAAAGATGTTGCTTCCATTTCTTTCAGGTGCAAACTGTCTTGTACATGTACCACTGTCCCCAGAAATGGTTCTAATGTCCCAGAAATCTAAAGCTCTCCTTCCTGCACTATCTCCAACCACACATTCATAAGGACTAACCTCCTATTTCTATAGTCACACAATTTAGAGATACCTACATTTTCAGTCCTGTTTTTTTAAATCTACTTCTTAGCTCCCTATAATCTGCTTCAGGACCTGATCCCTTTGACCTTTGTTTGCTCTCCATCTTCAGTTTTTTTTTAAGATTTAGGTTTTATTGTCACATTTACTCAAGTACAGGGCACAGAAAGTGAAAGTGTACAGTGTAGCCAAACGTGGTGCCATCTTAGGCACAAAGTCTTAGTTACAGAAATAAATAAATAAGTTAAAAAGTTCAGCACTACACTCTTCTTAGCATAAAAGTAGAAAAACAAATAAATAAAGTTAAAACATCAAGCATTACAGTCCTTTCTTGAGGCATGGGCCTGCAGATGCTCCAAGCTAGGCTCTTCAAGAGGGCTCACTCTCCCAACACTGGGCATACTTTCAACTGGGCTGGGGTAAGGCCCACCCAGGCACACCAGGCTTCGGTCTCGACCATCATATCACCGCTGACGGCCGCTGCCACCATCCCTCTCATCTGATCACTGCTGCTGCCATCTGGGCTTGTGCTAGGCCTCAGCCAATGCCCAGCTCCATCATTGCCACTGCTTGCACAGCCCCAGTTTTACAAACACAAGAGGTCTGTGCTGGGCCTACTCCTCTCTGTGCTGGGCTAACTCAAGGTCAGCAGCCAATGCCATCGAGCTCAAGCGATAAGCAGGGAAAATAGAAGATAGAAAAACACAAGGTAAGAGAAAAAAGAAAGAAAAGAAAAGAAAAGCAGTCAGAGCGGAGGAGCTCCAGCTCAGGAGCCCTACTTCACTGCCATTTTGGATAGACCCTGGTACTTGGCAAGTAGGTTCCTGTCACCCAGTGGTTGGAGGGCACATCACTGCTGACTGAATTTCTCACACTTAACCTAATATCAGAACACTGGGATTTTTTAAGGTTCTGCAGCATTTTAGTGACATCCCTGACCTTGGCACCAAGAAGGCAACAAACCATCCTGCAGTCTCTTTTATGACCCACAGAAACAACTGTCTGTTCCCCTTACAAATGGATCCCCTACACTATATCCCTGCCATTCTTCTTCTTCCCCTTTTGTGCAGTAGAGGCACCCATGGTGCCATGAAGTTGACTCCCACTGCTTTCTCCTGCATAGTTGTCTCCCCCAACAGTATCCAAAATGGTATATCCATTAGAAAGGGGAATGGCCACTGGGGACTCCTACACTCCCTGCCTTCCTCTACTCTGTATAGGGTCACCCAGGCTCTATCTACCTGTTCTGTCTTCACTCAAGGTATGACCATCTCACTGAACATGTGATCCACAACATGTTCAGCATCACAGATGCTCCACAATGAATTCACCTGCTGCTCCATCTCTGAAATGTGACATAGCCAGTAGCTGCAACTTGGATATACTTCCTGCACATGTGACCATCAGGGACAAATGAAGCTTTCATGATTTGTCACATAGTACAGGAGGAGGATATCACAGGTGCAAGCTCTGCTGCCATGATTTCCATTAAGCCAATTACTTACTTATCTAAAAAAAAACTTCTGTAAGAATACTATGAACTACTTCACTTATGGAACTTTGCTTATTTATATTACTTTCCTATATTTGTGGTTTTCACTTGTTCCTGTTGTTTCTCAATTGACTCCTGTTTCCAAAAAATAACTTTTAAAAATCACAAACCAATCAACACACCACTTTCCTGTGATGCCACTGTTTGTTTTCCCAATCAGCTTTCCCCTGCAGCTGTTAAACTATGACTCCACATCATCTGCTGGTACTCCAATCTTGGATCTCAATTTACCTTGTTGCTGACTCCCTCTCTCT